GGTGCTTCCAATCTTCTGGGTCAGATATGTTCCTGCCTCAGTGGTGCTGTGGATACAGTCTCTAGAATCTAGCCAGCAGAGTATCTGAGGTGCTGTTAATGAACACTGCTTTTCCTGAAGAGCAGAATGCAAGGCTGTGACAATTGAAAGAAGTCAAATGTGAAGTCTCTGCTTCAGGGATCCATTTTAGGGCATTCTGGAAAAAGTAAGTGTTTAAAGCCCGGGGACAGAGATACAGGGTGTCTGCAGCCGGGAACGGGGAAGTTGGGTTGGGGTGGGGGTCTACATACACTTTATTAGCTATTGTTTTAGATTTATGTTTTGTGTATGACTGTTGTGTCAGCATTTATGTATATATGTGTACTGCATGCATGCCTAGTGCTAGGGAAGGTTCTGAAAAGTGTGTTGGATCCCTGGAATTGGAGTTAAGGGTGGGTGTGTGAGCCACCAAATGGGTGTTGGGAACCAAACCCAGTCCTCTTAAGAGCAATACATGTTCTTAATGGTTGAGTCCCTACATATCTTGATGAAGAATACATGATTAGATGTTTTCAAAATTCATGATAATGTATACCGATGAATTAATTTTACTGAACGCGAACTGTACGTTTTACAAAGTTTCCACTGAGTTTAACCCTTGCCTTTTGCTGGTTGTCACATCTCTCTGTCCCACTAATAACAGAGAAGGATATGGAGGACTGGAAGGCTTTAAGCCCTCAACGGTGGCCTTTGGGTTTGGGGTCCACACAGAACTCTGGACCTATATTCTTTACTCTCTGGTGTTAATTGACAGCTCCAGAGCTTCTCAGCATGTGAGCAATCTGGTTCCCCCGGGTCCTCCTCACAGAGCTTCACATCCCTATACATAGTGAATCTTGGGAAATAGGCTTTCTTGCGATTTCTACTTCTGCATTGTGCTTTAAAAAAAAAAAAAAAAATCCTTCCAAATCCAGTCTGATTTTAACTAGTTCTTTGACTAAGGAGCAGTGTTAGGCTTTCAAAGCCTGACTAATTTCTCTGACCATCTCACCCAGGTCCACCCATGTTGTCACCAAAAATGTCATCCCATCCTCTCTTATTGGTGCATAGTAATCTATTATAAATAGTAGTTGATAAGATTTGAACCCCCTGCTATTGGATGTCTACCAATAGCAATAAGCCAATCTAGCCAAATTAATAAATCCAGGTTTAATCTGAGCAGACCAAAGCACCTCCCAGGCAGCTCTAGGGATGTCAGGGGAGAGAGCATGAGTGTGTGAACCAGGTCTTAACTGGCCTGTAGGCATCATCTTGAGCAGACCTGGAAGAGACTGACACTTGGTGGGCTTTCTGAGAAGGAGGGTTCTGGAATTGGAGAAGTGAGACTGGAGTGTGGAATGCACCACCCCAGCTGCAGCTCCCCAACAGGAATATGTCTCCGTTTCCCCATTTATTCACCAATAGATTCAGGGGTGTTCCATGTGCTAGCTAATAGGAACTGAGTTACAATACACAATCAGCCACAAATATCTCTAGGAGAAAATAGATAGGAAGTAGACAATATTTACTATAGAGTGTGTCAGATCTGGTATTAAAGGGCACAGTAGGATTACTTCAGGTCACAATAACTACAGTGTTTCTAAAAACAGCTGGGTGTTTCTAATATACTGACCACAATGAAACAATGAACATGTATTAATTTTAATGTGCCAATCAACAACATCCCTGCTCTGGCCTTAAGCTGTTCAGACTGGTTCACCAGTAGGGGCCTCCACCGGCAGGAGAAAAAGCTTGCTGGGCCTTTCTTTTAAGCTGCCAGATTCTATCACATCTGGAAGTCATGTGATGAAGAAGCCGCCATTTTGGAAGTTCACCATTTTTATTACTTAGTCATGGGCTGTCTTACGGCCTGCATGGTATTTATCTAACCCCTAATCTCTCACAAGTTCTTGGCTTACCTGAGAAACAGTAGTAATGTTTGTGAGCTTTCTCTTTTGGTATTAGTCAGATGAGGTGAAACTGTTAGAGAGGCTGCTGGGAGTTCCAGAGAGTCGGGTCCTCAGACAGTAGATGAGGTTTAAGAGATAAAGAGGCTGCATTTAGTTGGAGAAAGCCGGGTCCTCAGACAGCAGGTGATGAGGTGAGAATGTTAGAGAGATCACAGAGAGTTCCAGAGAGCCTGGGCCTCAGACAGCAGATGTGGCAACTTTCACCTAAGTCGGTTGCTTTAACGACTTAGGCCACTGCAGAGGCCTTGGCTGCCCTTTTCAGCCCATAGAGAAGCCTGAAGAAGGAGAAATCTTTACTTTTGAAACTTTTCCCAGCACACCAAGGACTCTGGCTTACCACGAGGAATATGTGACTTGGTGACACCTGAGGGGCAGCAGACAGAGACCAATGACACCTGCTGCTCTGTCCCAGGGAGGGGGCTCCTCAGTCTTTAAAGGGTCCTGGGTGGGTGTGGAGGAGACAATTTTCCTGTGCACTGGATGGCACAGGACAGGACCCAGGGATTCGAGGGAGGCCTGGTGGAATGACTTCCTCTGCAGTGTGTCCCTAACCTCCCAGATCAGTATTTCCCATCACAACAGCAGGGTTCTGTCCACCTAGAGGAACTTGGCCTGATCTCCTGAGATTGCCACTCGACCCTTGAGCTAACGATAATCGTGAGCTCTGCTTTTCAAGAAATACTCTGTCCTAAGCAGAAACAAGAAAGTGGGGATGGAGACATGGTTCAGTGTTGCTGCCCTTGTAGAGAGAGGGCTGGGCTCGTGTCCAGCACCCACTGGGCATTCAGAGCCTTCTTCTGGCCTCTGTGGGCACCGGGCATGCATGTGACACACAGACTTGTGGTCAAAACACCCACACACATAAAATCAATTTTTAAAAATGAAACGGAAAGAGATTTAAAAGGAATGAAACATAAACATTTTTCAAAATGAGAGGATACAGTTTTCAAATAGAAATCTCCAGTGTCCTTTTCCAATCATCCACCATAAACTAAAACTACAGATGGATTTGCTGGTGGGATCAATCTCGCATCCCAACCCTCCTGAGAAACCTGGGATACAACAATAGGAACAGTGGGGCCAGTGCCCTAGGAAAGGAAGAACTTACTAGAGGTGGGATGAATAGATGAAAAGGCCCGTGGCAGGGGTGGGGGTTGGGGGTGGGGTCAGGAAAAGAAGGTTGCGGTGGAGAAGGGGCACTTGAGGTGTGCACTGGATGGCAGCGATGTGTCTGAGCATGTCCAAGGTCCTCCAGGAATCCGGACAGCTACGTGGCTTTACAAACTCAGAAGGGCTGTTTATCTCTCCCTGCAACTGGCAGGGCACGGTGTCTACACACAAGTGTCAGTAAGACTACGGGGAAATGTAATCTGATGGGCAGTTTGTTGAACACTAACACCTACAACACATGGCTACAGTTCCTTTAAATACAGGGAGTGAAAGGAGAGAAAATCCCAGCCTCTCTGGCTACCTCCTCCTCATTGCCTCACTCTGGCGGGAAAGCTAGCTGAGCTCAAATTCCCGATTCCTGAGAAGCGTGCATAACACGCTGTTGGTTGCTCTTCTCCAAACATGTTTAAATAACATCCGCGGTAGAATAATAGAATAATAAAGAATTGCACCGGTGCCAACGCATCGCAGCGCTCCGCACCCCACCCCCAGTCTCTACCGATCTGTAGACCCCTGTGGCAGGCTGGCAGGCAGAAAGAGCTCCGCTCCCTGATGAAACTCCCCTCTCTCCCTTTAGCTCAGTTTACGATTCATTAAATACTTACAATTTCCTCTCTCGCCTTCTGGGGAAGCAGACTCTGCAGTTACCATTCTCTTGAGGGCTTCACACCACCTGTCTTCTTGTTGCCGCAAACAAACTCAGATGAATGAAGTAGACGCCTGAAAGCCGGGAAAACTTTTCTAGTGGGCGGGGCTTTAAATCAGCTGATTTGGAAGCTCTGCCCACCAGGCCAGTGATTTGTTCTCTGATGGATGATCCTGCCATAGCCACCCTTTTGGCGCATAGTATGCTTCTTAGAGAAATGGCATTACAAGTTTGGAGAGGTAGTGTGATGTAAAAGAAATGCTAACCGTAAAGGACATATACAGAACTAAGGAATGTTTTAGATTTTGATAGTTCAAAGCAGTTTTTAATTACAGCTACTTCACACATTTTTCTCTGCTGCCAAGGTGGGATGACATGGGGTGCTTCACTGTCCTTGGAAACTCAACCTAAAAGCAAAAACAACTGCAAAACGATGAAATGTAATTGCCAGCCCTTTTCAAGCCTCTTGAAAACGAAAGTTCTAGAAGGAAGCAGCAATTTTCACAGCCCCTGCTCCAAGGCTAATTAGCAGTGACCATAGAGGGTTTGGAAACCTGTGAGTTTGGAGACATCTTTAGCCCTCTTTTAAAAAAATTATTTTGTCTTATGCATATTAGTGTTTCGCCTGAATATACGTATGTGCACTTGTGCCTGCCCTGGGGCTCATGGAGGGCAAAGAGAGCAGCAGAGCTCCTGGAACTGAGCCAGCGCTCCAGTCCGCCATTTCTAGCCCTATCAGTAACTGTTTATTGCTAATCTCTGCCTCTCACCTTTGTGACCATCAGGTAACTCAGAAGACTAGCTTTCCTTGCAATGTACTAACAGACAGATAGCTCCCATAACCTCCAAGGCTAAGAGCATCATCAGGTAGCATCTGACCCCTGCGACAAAGCTCCACCCACACTGCTGTAACTGCCTCTCTGGTGTTTCCACCAATGTGCTTGAAAAGTGTCTTCATGTGTGGCTTCCTATGGTCTGTGACTATAAAGACTCCATTCCCACCTTGGAACATGGAATTTGGGTTGATCTAAATGGGTATTGCTGGGCCATGGTCACTCATTTTGTCTCCAGAGTAAACTCTTATCTCCTTTGAGGTGAGAGTTGTGTTTTGCACACAATGGGCAGTGACTGTCTGGGAACAGGATAGGAGAGCACATTGGCACCATAGGAAAAGTGAAGCAGAGAAGAGGTAGACTAGGTACCAGCAGGCTGAGAGTGCTTTATTGGAATAGAGAGGGGACCAATCTTTCCATGGCATGAAGGTTGAGCACATTTACAGGGGCTGGAGGGCGTGTGTGTGTGTGTGTGTGTGTGTGTGTGTGTGTGTGTGTGTGTGTGTGTGTGTGTGT